GCGGGTCGAGGGTGCGGTGGCTGGGAGTGTGTCCCTGCACCCCAGCCTTGGCGACAGTGAGAGACTCCAACTCAAAAAAAAAAGAGAAGGAGAGAGGGGTGGGGTCTGTCTGTGTTGCCCAGGCTATGGCTGGGATGACAAGTGTGTGTGGCTGTGCCCAGCTATCTTGCAATATTTTTTCCTAAATGAGCTGGACCACTCACTGCACTCCAGCCTGGGCGACAGAGCAAGATCCTGTCTCTAAAAAATAAAGATAAAAATTAGCCAGGTGAGGCAGCTGGCGCCTGTTACCCCAGCTACTCGGGTGGCCAAGGGTGGAGGATGGCTTGCACCTGGGAGTTGGAGACCACCCTGGGCGACACAGTGAAACACTGTCCCTAAACAAATATAGATTCAAAAATTAGCTGGGCATGGTGGCACCTGCAGTCCCAGCTACTCAGGAGGCTGAGGTGGGAGGATCTACTGAGCCCAAAATGTCAAGGCTGCGGTGAGCTGGGTTCACGCCACTGTTCTCCCCCCTGGGTGACAGAGCGAAACCCCGTCTCAAACATTAGCATAAGATAAAATAAATTCTAGCCAGCAAACTGCAGCACAGGCCAGCAACCTGTTTTTGTAAAGTTTTCGAGGGACCAGGGCCATGATCAGGGTACAGCAAGGGTGCAGGACAGGGCTAATCCTGTCTTCATTTAAAATCTTGGTATGGGTCAGGCTCGGTGGCTCAGCCTATAATCCCAGCACTTTGGGAGGCTGAGGCAAGTGGACTGCCTGAGCCCGGGCAACTTGGTGAGTCCTCAGCTCCACAATAAATCAGAAATTAGCCGGGCACGGTAGCACATGCCTGTAGTTCCAGCTACTCGGAAGGCTGAAGCGGAAGGATCACCGGAGCCCAGCGGGTCAGGGCTGCAGTGGCCGGGTGCGGCCACCGCACTCCAGTCTGGGCGACAGAGTGAGACTCCAACTCAGGAAAAAAAGAAAAAGAATAAAGAAGAGGCCGGGCTCGGTGGCTCAGCCTGTAATCCCAGCACTTTGGGAGGCTGAGGTGAGTGGATTGCCTGAGCCCGCAGGTTCGAGACCCGCCTGGGCAACTTGGCGAGACCTCTTCTCTACAATAATTCAAAAAATAAGCCGGGCGTGGTAGCGCGCGCCTGTAGTTCCAGCTCCTTGGAAGGCTGAGGCGGAAGGATCGCCGGAGCCCGGCAGGTCGAGGCTGTGGTGGCCGGGAGTGGCCACTGCACTCCAGCCTA